GTGTGTGTGTGTGTGTGTGTGTGTGTGTGTGTGTGTGTGTGTGTGTCCATCCATCCATCCCCAGGCGTCTCAGGCCACCTCCCTCTCGGTCACAGACGAGCTGATCTTCTGTGGTTGTTCTGACGGGACGGTGCGAGCGTTCAGTCCCGTTAATCTTCACTTCCTGTGCACGCTGCCCCGCCCCCACTGCCTCGGGGCCGACATCGCCAGCATGACGGACGCCAGGTAACACACACACACACACACACACACACACACACACACACACACACACACACACACACACACACACTAGACGAGTTGTTCTTTTGGACAGAGTTACTCTGCCCTTTTCAAAATTATTTTCAACGCCTCGGGCTCCGATTAGTATTCAGCTTAACACTGGCTATCTTTGTTTCAAGGAGAAATGACCATCTTTTTTCCTACATTTTGTTGTAAGACCCTGGCAAATGGTGTACAGCTCAGACACAAATTACCTGATTCACCTGGGTTCCTCTCTCTTTGAATTTTTCATGTCCTGATATTCCTCCACCTGTTGTGGACTGACTGAGTCCGAAAAAAATAAATAAATACCAAACTCAGTTTAGTTTTGTTAAATGTGTCTCAATGTACAGAATATATTATCAAAGAAAATATCCTCTATCATCCTCCAGGTTCATGCACTAGGCCTCTGGGAAAGGTGTGTGTGTGTGTGTGTGTGTGTGTGTGTGTGTGTGTGTGTGTGTGTGTGTGTGTGTGTGTGTGTGTGTGTGTGTGTGTGTGTGTGTGTGTGAAGTAAGAAGAAGTGTGTACAAAAAGTACCTTTGACACAGTTCAGATGTCTTATTTCCACATCCAGTGGTTGATCAAATCTGAATCCATGCAGCATTCGCTACTCTTTGAATGTATTGACTTGGCTCAGATTCCTGCAGATTTAAAAGTCTCATTTACCTAAGTTTCAAGATTTAGAGTTATCTGTTATTTCAAATATTAAAAGTAATTTTCCATTGCATCTGTAATGATGGAAAATGCTTATAATTTATTGCAAGGCCTATTGGCCTTTGAAGGTGACAGTTTTAATTTGTTTAAATATATCACATATCCTGTCAAATGAATGTTTGACCGTTAAAATAGTCCTATACTTGAATCTATGCATACTGTTATTTTGTATGTATTGGAACTAGGGATGCACCGAATGGGAAATTCTTGGCCGAAACCGATACCGAAAATAGGAAACAGTTGGCCAAAAATATTCAAAAATTTCTTTACAAAATAGACTATAAGATTCTTGAAAAGATACTACCAAATAAAAAAAGTTTATTACAAGGAGATTCCCAATTCCAATTGATTCTTATTGCAAAATTGACGTGTAGTCTCCTACAAAACTCCTATACAATAAATCCGGACTCCGCCCACAAAAATATTTTACAAGACAGTAGAGTCGGCATTTATTGTAGGAGTTTGTAGAGAGGGACTTACAAGTCAATTTTGAATACAGAACAATTGGAATTATGGATATATCCTTGTAATAACTTTTTTACTTTGTAGTATTTTTCAAGAATTTATAGTCTAATTTTGTAAAGAAAAAATTTTGGAAGTATTCCTTGGTTAATCCCATTGTAATTGGTTTCCAACACTTCTTCGCTAGGGGCGATCGACCCCTCCGAGTCCACCCTCTTGACCGGGTGTGATGGTCAGACGTGAGGCCTCCGTCCTATGGGAGACCAAGTTGAGGTTTCGGATTAGGAATGACCTGACTCGAATGACCTTCAAGAATTACTAACTGGTGACATACAAGACAAACACCGTACAAGTACACACGAGCAGAAATATAGGGAATACACACCGAACATAGTGTGACACAATACAAGGGAGGTTTGGTACTTTCGAGGTCATGGAGTCAGTCGTTGAGAAGGGCGACGAGACCAAACCTCAGGGACACGTCGACTCGTGTTTTTGTGTGTGTAGTCTTATAAACAGAATAAAAGAAATCAGTCTCGTCCGTTACACAACAGGGTACCGACGACCAAGGTATTTGTTGCATATATAATGTTAAGACATTAACCTGTACACTTTTTTCTTTCCTTATTTCATGATAGACATCTACTATTTACACACACAATTGAAGTTTATACTTTACAAGGTTAGATCCTACGTGGCTTATAAGCCGGCGGCTTTAATCAGCCGGCTTTTACCAATTTTTCCGAGAAAGCCGAAAAACCCCGGCTTTCGCAAAAAATCGTGGCCTTTCTTATAGTGGCTTACAGTCCCCTTGTCCCATGCAACCATTTCGAATTGCACAACAACACTACTGCAATTAGTTTGCGCCGCTGTTCGTGCCACGCCCGCCTGGCTACGAGCGCCGACCGAGTGTCGGTTGTCAGACGGCGACCTCCCCCCCCCCCCTATAAAATTTTTATAGTCTCTTTCAGTCCGCGCCCTAAAGTCTAACATTTTGCAGCCAAGTCGGACTGCTAAAGAGCTGTACCGCACATTGACGTTTCTGAAAGGGTGAAGCCGCCCTACCTAATGAGGTGGTGAACTTTAGTTTTGTGGGCCTGTTTATAACGCCTCATTCTAGTTTAGTCCGCCTTCTCGTCGACTGTCCGCCTCTCTCCAAGTCGCGACGGCAGAGTACACGAACTACCTCTTCTCCTTGCTTAATACCGACTATTTCGGTCTCTTTCGATGACAAGTAATTTTTCATTGGAGGGGTGACAAAGGAAGTATTCATTGTTCCGACTGAATAGTTTCGAAGTAGATACAGATGTACAGATGAGATGTATGGGTGAAAGGACTTGTAAAGTAAACACTCAATATTAAGTGGTAAGAGTCCAATAGTAATACCCCCCCTTTACTGTCGCTTCGTGTCAACAAGTATATATAACAATGAAAGCCATTACGCGATTTAGTCACAAGGGTTTGCCACCTACGGCGCCGTGTGACCACACGGCACTCAGATTCAGGTCCACACACGGCGACCCGTAAAAACACTGTTTGTAACTGAAATAATAATAGTATATGTCTGGATGGTTTGTTATAATAAAAAGAATAAATGCATAGTAGTCATGCAAACATACGTGTGTAAAGTATTATTTTGTCTCCGTTTGAGATATGATTTTTTGCTAATAATTTTTTATTAGGAGTGTCTTTGGGGCATAAAGGCGACAATTTGCGGTCCTAACGCGTCCAGACCCTAAATATTGTCTGAACACTGTGTAGCTTTCCGACTTCCTGTTATAAATTTTGATCTCCTTTGTTCGTTCGCCACTTTTACTCGTGCAAAGAAACACGCCTCGGCGCTCGTCTTGGTCGTTGGTGGTCACATCTCTGACGGTGTGGTGGTGCTTCTCTTCTCCTTTTTTTGACCAGTCGTGCTGTATGGTTACTGTCAATAGACAGAATACGCGAAGTAAACCTGGCCCCTACACTTGTTAGGAGGTCCGGGCTCACGCAGACAGACAGCCTCTCTTTCAATCGATTCGATTGTACCAAGGTACAAATAAACAACTTTTCCCTACCAACGAAAAACACTATACGGGATGCCATCACATAACTAACAACAACCTGAGCAAGACTTTGACCCACCCTACACACCTAAAACATATTTTTAGACCGGACCCGATAGAGAACATTTATAAAAATATACAACAAACACCATACAACTTTACAATATAAGTCATTAAACATCGTCCCTGGTACAAAGGAACGTACTGTCAGAGAACGGACCAAAGACGACTCAAAGCAACGGAGTAAAAAATTAAAAACACTGGACAGACACACAAAATTTACTCACACACGACGAAACTACTTCGGATATAACGATATTTCAATTATTTATATATTAGAAAATTATATAGATAATAATATATATATTATCAATATAAGATATAAATATTTAATTAAAATATTTTAAAAGCCAATTATATTAATAAAGTGTACTCAGTTATATCAACAGAACAAGTGTAAATAAACGGTATCAATTAATTCATCGTGTAAAATGTCCTATAAATGTACTAATACTCACTAAGTAGCACAATATTACCGATATCCCATCCACACGGAACTTATGAATAGCGACAACGGACAACCGAGCAGACTTTTAACCCTTGGTGAGTAGATTTAGCTAATGTTACAACACAAACTGCTACACGAGTACTCTAGTCTCGGTGCGAATAAAACGTCTAAGAACTTAACATTAATTCAAACAATTACAACACCTAAAAACTAGGTCCAAAAGTGAAAAACATCACGAATATATGTTACAAATGATGAAACCGAATACTCCTGGTCTTGTCGGAATAAATGTCTAAGCAACTTTACTCAACATAAGTAAACATTTACAATGTAAGTACACCTCACAATAGGCTCGAACGTGTCAACCATACGTACGTGAAAATATCCAGTACAACAACAACAACTTCAGACCGACGATGTCAGGAAGAAATAAAACGTCGATAAACAACGTCCGGATGACCAGCGGATCTACAACATATCGTCGGAACCGAAACAAGACTTACGTGACGACAACAACACTCAGCATACGAATGTACTCTTTTACGTGACTGAACCTAATTAAATAATTACATGCGACTACGTAAGTCTTCTCACGACGTTATTACAAAATACCTGGGTATTATCACTAATGATAACATATCAATTCAAAACGGTAATTAGGTACAGTCACGAACAGGCTATTAGTCCATGAACCTTTCTTGTAACCATTTTTTACATATGCTAATACATATATATCATAAAGCATCAATTAGTAAAAGCCGGACAAGCCGT